GCTGCTCAAGCTAAAAACCTACGAGATATCCCAGTTCCTCTCTTTCTCTCACGCCCCACTAGCAAGCATCCGGCCGCACACACTGGCCCCCCGACCCAGTGCTGGATTTCTGTCCACACCACCCCCACCCCTACAACACACAGCTGCCTTCTGGCTGCTCCTGGGGTCTCAGGCACTTTGGGTGGGGGACTCCAGGGTCCAGCAATTCATACAGCCCTTGACCCAATGGAGAAGGGTGTGATGGGAGGAGGCCAGGCAGGACCTTCTAAACAGGCCCTGAGCAGGCAAGCCTTCTAAAGCCTACCCAGGGTAAGAGCAGGCTGCTTTTGATTCCTCTTCCCCCTCTCCTCCTGAATTCATCCCCTTCTCTTGTCTCCATGGCTACCATTCCATTCCAAGTCACCACTGACTGGCTCCAGCCTCTCACTGGACTCCCTACCTCCATGCTCGCTTCTGTAATCCACTCTCCTTCCAGCACCCAGAGTGACCTTTTAAAAATATAAATCAGGTCACGTCACTACCCTGCTTAAAACTTCCCCCATCACGCTTAGAATAAAATTCAAACATCCTGACCTCCTGGGTTCCGTCTGGGGCGGTCAGAGACAGGGAGGAATACATACAGTTTCAGTGAGTGTCACTGAGGTTAATAAGATTGTGGGCTTTGGCATCAGACTACTTAGGTTCAAATCCTGTTTAGCCTATTTATCATCGGTGTAAACTTGCACCAAAAAAAACAGTTGCCGTAGAGTCGACTCTGACTCATGGCGACCTCATGTGTGTCAGAGTAGAACTATGCTCCATAGGGTTTTCAATGGCTGATTTTTCGGATATAGAATGCCAGGCCTTTCTTCCAAGGTACCTCTGCATAGACTTGAACCACCAACCTTTTGGCTCGCAGCCAACTGAATTAACTGCACTATCCAGGGACACCTGTAAACCTGAGCAAGTTACTTAAACCTCCCTCTCTAAACCTTAGTTTCCTCATCTATAAACTGGTGGTCTGTGAATGTCGTTCTTGTAAAGGGGCTCCCCAAAGTAAACACTGTCTTCCAAGGATGGTCTTGCCATACTGAATGGAGTAAGATACCACCTCCCTCATTTGGCTATCACATTTTTATTGATCTAGTCAAGATCACCTTCACTTCCTTGGCAGTCCACTCATACTCAATGAATATTAATTAGCTCATAAAGATCATCAGGACAACAAAAAACATTAACTAATTTAAAGCCAAGGTCTGAATCTTCAACTATGAGCTTTTCATGTACTTAACTTAGCTGACAAGCCACGCTGTCTGTAAACTAAATATGTCAGAAATTTCCTTGTAGAAGACAAGCTAATGATTAAGCTAATGGAATAATAGAACTATGAAATTAAAAGCTAGAAAATATCCAGAATACCACAATAGGATTGTCTCAGGTATTAAATTTTCAAGAGTTTTAGAAAGCTCTTATTTTATGAGGTCACACATCTACTGAGATCTGCTCTCATTCTGGATTTAGGGGGAGAAAGAATAAGAAAAAATAAATCAAGCACTGAAGAACTTTCTTAAGATTTGAAGACTGAACCGTTATCCAGAGTATGACTCATACCTACAATATCTCTGACTTGCAATTGTCCAGCCCCTCCAGAGTTGGGGCACTCATATTGTTCAGGGAAGCCATCATATTTTCAGGCAACACCAATTTTTTTTAAATTGTACTTTAGATGAAGGTTTACAGAACAAGCTAGCTTCACATTAAACAGTACACATATTGTTTTATGGCATTGTTTAACAAACCCATGACATGTCAACGCTCTCCCTTCTCGACCTTGGGTTCCCTATTACCCGCTCTCCTGTCCCCTCCTGCCTTCTGGTCCTTGCCCCTGGGCTAGTGTGTCCCTTTAGTCTCATTTTGTTTTATGGGGCTGTCTAATCTTTGGCTGAAGTGTGAACCTCAGGAGTGACCTCATTAGTGAGCTAAAAGGATGGCCGGCGGCCATATTCTCGGGGTTTCTCCAATCTCTGTCAGGCCAGTCTGGTCTTTTTTGTGTGTGTTAGAATTTTGTTCTACATTTTTCTCCAGCTCTGTCCGGGACCCTCTATTGCAGGCAACACCAATTTTTATGAAGAAAATTATATAAAACCAAAAATTATCTTCCTTTAATGAACACCCACTAGTGTTTACTTTACCCTCTGGGGCTCCTCAGACACCATTTAAAATATCTTCCACACGATAGCCTTTTAAATATCTGGACACAGCTGCCTTGTTCCCCACATTAAGTTGTCTCTCCTACAGGTTAATGTTCCGAGGCCCTCACATGACGTGGTTTCTAAACCCCATTATCCTGGCTGTACTTTTCTGGGCATGCTGGTCTGTGAATGTCGTTCTTGTAAAGGGACTCCCTGAAGTAAAACTGTCTTCCAAGGATGGTGTTGCCATACTGAATGGAGTAAGATACCACCTCCCTCATTTTGGATATTACATTTTTACTGATCTAGTCAAAGATCACCTTAGCTTCCTTGGCAGACACATTTAGTTGCTTACAGTCAACTAAACCCACCATGTTTTTCATGCTCACTTCCTTTAAGCCATGTTCTCCCATCTATGTTTATCTGTTTGGTCTTTTTGACCTAAGAGCAGAATTTTACAGGTATTCCCTTTCTATTTCATTTTGTTGGTATCTCTTTACTATTCTAGCCTCTTCAGATCATTTTGGATTATAATTCTATCATCCATTAGCAATTTCATGTCAAATGCGTATTGGATTATCAAGTCATCATGTCCTGAGCCTAGTCACTGGCAAAGCTTTTGAACAGGATAGGGCCAAGGGCAGGGCCCTGTCATCTGCCACCCAGACCTGCCTCCAGGCTAACAAGGGCTCACTAACTACCACTCTTTATATCTGGTCATTCCACTAATGTGGTGGACGCACTCTAGGGTGACCCCCAATGACTCATGCCCTTGTGTAATCCCTTCCTCTTAAGTGTGGCTGTAACCTGTGACTTGCTTCTGACCAACAGAACATGGCAAAGGATGGGATGTCACCTGTTGATTAGGTTATATTATATGAGAATCCAGCCTGGAGTAAGAGAGACTCCCTTGCTGGCTTTGAAAAAGTAAGTGGCAATGTTGTGAGAGGCTACATGGCAAGGAACTGTGGGTGGCCTCTAGGAACTGAGGGCAGTCACCAGCTAACACCCAGAAAGAAAAAAGGAACCTCAACCTTATAGCCATAAGGAGATGATTTCTGCCACAAATCCGATGGAGCTGGGAAAGGAATCTTTCCCCGGTCAAGCCTCCGGTCAGACTGCAGCTCTAGTCAACACCTGCACTGCAGCCTATGAGACCCTGAGTGGAGGATGCAGCTAAGTCATGCCCAGACTCCTGTCCCACAGAAACTGTGAGATAATAAATGTGTGTTGTTTTAAGCTGCTAAGTTTGTGTAATTTGTTGTGCAAAATAGGAAACTAATACAACCAATAAATCCACCTAAGTATTCTATAATCCAGCACCTATTTCTCTATCTTGTGCTTAAGGGTATCATGGCCAAGTGTCTTGATGAAATCCAGGTATGTTGTTTTACATTCTCCTATGTTAATCAATCTAATAATTCTGTTAAAGTAAGGAAATCAGGTTACGTTTACCTGCCATAGTCTTAGTAAACTCATTCTGCTTTCCTGAATGTTCACAAATTATCCTTTAAAAAAAATCTATTCTCAAATCTTTCTGGGGTTTGAAGACAAATTCTCCACTCTATACAGTGTGTAGAATCTACCTGCATCTCCTTTTTGAAAAATCAGGATTACATTTGCTTATAGCTAGTTTTCTGATGACCTAAATTTTTCTTGATTTTAAGCTACCTGAGGGCAAGGACCATCTATTCTTCTTTGTATACTCCCGAGTGCTGACCACAGCATCTTTCACAGAGTAATTTCAACTTAAAAGCTGTGAAAATAATTTATGATTGAAAAGTACTATTACTTTATAAGCCAAATACAACCAGTTGCCATCGAGTTGATTCTGACTCATGGTGACCCTATAGGACAGAGTAGAGCTGCCACATACGGTTTCTAAGGAGTGGCTGGTGGATTTGAACGGCCAGCCTTTCAGTTAGCAGCCGAATGCTTAACCACTGCACCACTGGGGTTCCACTATTACTATATGGTTGCTGCAAATCTTCAAAAGTAGACTTAATCTGATCCAAGGACTTTCAATGGATATGGATGACCTAGATAAGAGTGAAACTCAGATTTTATATGCAGGTCATGTTTCCCTCCTCTTCGGCCTTACAGGCTACTGTGATGGCCAACCACAAGTCTGCTCATGACATTTGGAAACAGGAATCCCTTAGTGGTAACTTTGTGACCTAAAAGAATTGGTCTAGCTTCAAAGTAGCCCAATTCACAGCACCATTGAAATAGCTCAGGCACTGAGAAAACCCAAATTAACCAATCTTTCATTCAATAGTTATTGGAGTACCTTTGAGCAGTATCCACAAATTCTTAGTTACTCCTCTCTTTAAGATGTGGAGCTTAAATTCCCCTCCCCTTAATGACTTACTTTAGTATGGTGGAAGTTATGGTGTGTCACTTCCAAGGCTAGGTCATACAAGGCATTCTGGCTTCTCTCTTGCTCTCTCTTAGATCACTTGCTCTGGAGAGAGCTGGTTGCCATGTCGTGAGGATACGCAAATGAGTCTACACAGTGAGGAACTGAGGCCTCCTGTCAACAGCCAACAAGGAACTAAAAACTTCTGCCAATAGCCACGTGAATGAGTCATCTTAGAGGCAGATCCTCCAGCCCCAGTCAAGCCTTCTGATGACTACAACCCTGGATGATATTTTGACTGCAATCTCATGAGAAATACTGAGCCAGAACCACTCAGCTAAGCTGTTCCTGAATTCCTGATCCACAGAAACTATGAGATAATAAATGTTTGCTATTTTAAGCTGCCAAGTTTTAGAGTAATTTGTCATGCAGCAATAAATAGCCAATACAAAGTAAGAATTTTCACTTACCTTGTAGTATTGTAAAATTCTTGATGAGCTGACCATGCTTGGAGTCCACCAGCTTCATTTCTTCCATAATTACTGATAAGTTGGCCACTTCAGTATCTAACCTTGACCTCATCATATCTTGTTGCATCCTGAGAGAAACAGAATCCAAACGGATGTTGGCCAATGTATTATTCAAGGAGGTCAGATCATCTGTGTGTTTGGTTAGGGTATCCGTGCAAGTGGTCCTGACTTCATTCAGGTTGCTGGTCAGCGTCCGCAGGTGGTGGGCTGTATAACTGATGTTGCTAATAATGTTCACAATATCCGTCTCAAAGAGCTGGAAGCGCTTCTCCAGTTGGCTGAACTTGATGGCCGTCCTGTTCTCTGCATCCTTGTGTAAGTCCTGCAGGTCTTTCAGGTTCTGCTCATTGGCTTGTGAGACAGTGGTGATGTTGTCCATATGACCGGTGAATGAGCTGAGTTGGCTGTTCATGTCCTCCAGGGTGTCGTTGTTGGCTTTGGCCAAGGCAGAATTGTTGGCAGCCAAAGTCTGCAAACTTTGCACTTTCTCCTTCAGCCAATCAGTGTCCTTCTTGGCTTGAAGGAAAACCTGTTGCAGATTTTGGAAGTCGTTTTTGATTCGCTGGATAGCCTGGCTGGTGTCATCCACAGACCGCTGCAGATTAGTGATTAGGTTCCTCTGCTGCACCTGGGTCAGGTTCAGGTTGTTGAGGTTCATAATGACCACGTTATGAGAATACATTTGGTTCTGTAGATTGCCCTGGAGCACGCTGGTATCTTGTTGCAGATTAGTGACATAGCCATTATATGCCTGCAGGGTTTTGTTTACGGTGGTGATGAGGAAGGAGTTATTCTCCAAAGTTTCTTTCAGTTGACTCTGCCTGTCCACCAGTGCCTCCCCACTTGCCTGTAACTTATCCAGCGTATCTTTGTTCTTGCTGGTTTTTTCTGTAATCTCACGAAGTTGTTGACGTAGATCCAGAATGTCTGATCTGAAGGTGGAGAGTTCTGAGTTGGTGCTGATAGCTTTTTTCCCAGTTTGGTCTCCTGGAATAATAAATGTTTTACTTAAAATGGTGGTAATGGAAAAGTCAGGTAATGTCAAAGATCCCAAAGAGACTGAACTGGTATGCACTCTATTAGGGATATAAAATTTGAGGTGTATGAAAACTGCCCTACATTCGTAAAATTCATCTATCTGTTAAACTGGGTCCTGGGGAGTAGGAAAGGGTGCTTTGTACCAAGACTGACAGACTTGGATGAATGCCTTTCTCAAAGAGGGAGAGGGAATTTTCCTTGTTCTAGGCCACTAGGTATGATGTCAAGAAGGAAATAATCTATTGCTTTTTAAGTTTACCGAAATTCTTCTTCTTTTTTTAAATGAAAACAAAAATCAAGGAAGAGAATAGGCTGGAGACTTTTACTTTATAGGATATGAATTTCTGTAATTCTTGTATGCATGTAAAATATTTTAAATAGGAATTTACTGAGAATTTCATAAAATAATTTTTAATAAAGGGTATTTGTGGTACTTTTAGATCAGATTGATCTTCAGATTTGGCACATAGTAGTTTTATTAGGGGGATCAACTCCAAAATTGGTCCTTAACTTTAAAAAGTCTTTGACTTAAATCATGAAGAAACAGTCAACACATTAACACAAAAATTTAATGTCCTTTTGGGTGAATGTGAGTTTATAGCAATGTCATTTTAAAAAGCTGTGGATTGATAGAAAGTAAGGTTAGGGCGTTCAACTTAATGGTTCACTCCCATTGCAGATTACCTAATTTTTTCAGGTCGCTTTCCACAGCTGTAAGTTTATCATCATAGGTTTGGCGAGACGTCTCCATGCCACCTGTAACATTGTCCATTTTCTCTACAACTGAAATTTAGAAAACAATGCATTAATACACATACCTGTTTTTATTTTTTCATTTTCAAGATGAGAGATTATTTCATTACAGAATAAAAGAAACATACTGAGACAGAAAGAATAAAATTGAAATCAAACATGGGAGAAAATGTCATCCTTTTAGAGAAATAAATAACATACTTGCCACAAAACCTGGTGGGAGTTTACTTGGTTGAGAATTGTATGTTTTTAACTGTCCTTAGGATTCGGTAATGCCTTGGGTATTTTAGAAATGGTATGGAACTAACTTTTTATATATCATAGAAGTCCTTAATCTGTACTAAACCCATTGCCGTTGAGCTGATTCCAACTCATAGCGACCCTACAGGAGAGAGCAGAACTGCCCGTACTGTTTCCAAGGAGTGGCTGGTGGATTTGCACATGTCGACCTTCTGGTTAGCAGCCAAATTCTTAACTACTGGGCCACCAGGGCTCCTCACTCTGTACTATTTCCTATTAATTTCCACTGATGGAGGCACAGAACACTGTGATCATTTATAAAGGTTTGTCACTCCTCAGCATCCCTAACATGCCTGGTAGACGGGACTCATTTACCTAGAAGGAGATTCCATGGCAAAAAGCACCCACCTCGTCTACACACAAAGTCGTTGTAAAAGAGACTAAAAGGCAAGAGTGCCTAATACTCCATGTCACGAGTTCTACCACTGAGCCCTAAAAACCTGCCTCTCTTTAGCAATGAGTGAATTTTTAGTTTATCAGTTCCCAAGAAAATGCCCTAAGTGGTGTCTCCAAACAATGATTTAACAAGAAGATTTATTTTTTAGCATTTTCTTGATCATGGTAGGGAAAGTTAGTGATGTAGCATAAAATAAAAGCTTCTGTTCTTATGTGTTCACAGAAGGCAGTAATTCTCTATGGTTAAAAATTCAAGTTTATCTTTCTAAAATATATAAAAAGAATGTATTTCTCCAGAAGTGACTCCTGTGAGATCCAACCCCTAGCAGCCTGGGGTGAATGAAGTCTGACTGTTCTTGATATAAACAAGTCGTCTTTTTTAAAAATAATGATTTTTTTTTTTTGCATGATGCTTTCTATAGTAATTATGAGCTAATGGATCCAATATATTGTATTCATCAAGTGTTCTGCCCCACATTATTGTGTGAGAAGATTCTCCTGGCTCTTATTAGGAAGAAGAAGGAAGTTCCCATGTGTTTGTGTGACCTGAAGTAAACCAGCTCAGTGGATCTGGCATGTTCCCTGGAGAAGCTTACCACACTTTCCCTCAAACTTTTATAGCCCGACCATCATGAAATATGCACTCTGCACCAAATGCTCTTTTTCCCCGTGAGCCATTCCATGTGTTCTTCCTTCCATCCGGAATGTTCTTCTCTGGCCTCTTCACCACGCTAAATCCTGTTTTCTCTTCAAGATGCAGCTTGTCACTTCCTGTGGGAAACCTTTGCTGAGGTGCAGCTCCACAGAATTCTCTTAGCAAGTAATCCTTTCCCTATTACAAACCTTACTGAATGATGCTGTCAATGGCTTTAGTTGTTCTTAGCTGCTGTCAAGTCGCCCCCCGACTCATGGGGACCCCATGAATGGAACAAAACGCAGCCCGGTCCTGTGCCATCCCCATGATCAGCTGTGGATAGAACCGTTATGATCCACAGGATTTTCACTGGCTGATTTTCAGAAGTAGATTGCCAGGCTTTTCTTCCTAGTCTGTCTTAGTCTGGAAATTCCACTGAAACCTGTTCAACATCCTAGCAACATGCAAACCTTCACTGACAGATGGATGGTGGCTGTACATGGGGTGCACTGGCAGGGAATAGAACCCAGGTCTACTGCATGGAAGGCAAGAATTCTACCACTGATCCACCACTTCTTCTTTAAGATCATTTAGTGCAGGAAAATAATTGTATTCACAGTTTTATCCTCAGCTCTTAGCTCTGTGTGTGACACTGACAGGTCCTCAGTAAATATTTGGTAAATACATCAATGAATAAACGAGAATCTGTCTGCTGGCTGCTGAGGCCTGTGAAAAATTGGCTGAAGTGAGAGGTTATACGAAGAAACATACAAACCAACCAACCCAGGGCAGCCTGAGCATGGGCAATGCGTGTGATATTTAGTTGAATAATTATTGTTTTTTTTTTTAAATTACTATATAGACACAGAGGTATACTTATAATCATCTGCACCTTAGGACTGTGTGATAGGCATGCATGCCCTAAATCCCTAGAAACCTTGAAGAACAAAATGTTTCATTTACATTTTAGCAAACCTAAATCTCAAAAAACTAAACTATGGAATGTTTACAAGATTAAGTTCAGTTTTGATCCTCAAATCCAAACACATGCTCAGTCCGTCCTCAAACCACACACAGGATCTTAAGTCTTGCCTTTCTTTCCTGGAAGCCAAAGAAACTTCTAAATATGCTGACAGTTCATTTTCTACGCTCTCTAATTTTTATTCCGCTTTAGTTTCAAAAAACACAGAACTGTCATGGACAGATAATTCAGGTTTGCTTAGAGTAAAAGGAATAAATGCATTCATTTTACAGTTAAAACAAAAAACCAACAAACTGTTAGCTTTCTCTTTCCTGTAGCAAGGAAACTATTTTCCCTACCCACAACTGCTAATGAACTAGTTACACACTCTAGGGTGTGCGTGTCTCTGTTTAAAAATACGATCTTGGTACAAAGCTCCAAACTTCAGGCTTGCGAAAATGGCAGCTCGCCTACTATGCACAAACAGTAGACTGATTGAGATCCAGAGCTAACGTGTGTAATAGCACACGGCATTTTTGTTGGTCCCTACTCTTATTAGCACAAGTTCTCAGTCAGGAAGAGTGGTAGAGTTATCCTATCTTGCCCTGGAAACTCCCAGTCTATAAGCGTAGGCTCAGTTTGTAGATCATTCTCCCATGAGGAAAACTAACATGACTCCCAAGAAGGGTTACCAGCAGTCTTTTTTCCATGGGCTCCCCATTATTGGGAGCTGTCTGTTTCTTTTTCTTTCTTATTGTGGTAAAATATATATATAACACAACATTTGCCATTTGAACCATTTTCACATGTATAATAACTCTCTGGCATTAATTACATTCACCATATTGTGTAGTTATCAGCACTACTGTTTCCAATTTTTTCCATCATCCTTAACAGGAACTCAGTGTCCCTTCACGAATACCTCCCCCTTTCCCCTCCTCCAGCCCCTGGTAACCACTAATAAACTTTGGTCTCTATGCATTTGACTATTCTAGACATCTCATATAAATGAGATCATATGATGTTTTTCCTTTTCTGCCTAATTTCACTCAGCATAATGCGTTCAAGTTTCATCCATGTCATAGCATGTACCAGGACTTCATTACTTCATTTCTCTATGATTAAGTAATATTCCATTGTATGTATGTTCTGCATTTTGTTTATCCATTTATCTGTTGATGGGGCACTTGGGTTATTTCCACCTTTTGGCTACTGTGAGTAGTGCTGCAATGAATATTGGTGTATGGAACTGTTTCTTGACAGAGAATTTTTCTTCAGAATATTGGAGTTTCAGGTATTATACCTTAAGAGTTGTCCCTCTTCAAGTGCCCAAAGCCTAATTCAAGTCCACTCAGAGAAACCTCAGAAGGCTTGCCAATTTACTTCCAAAAATCAGCCATTGAAACTCAGTGGAGCACAGTTCTACTGTGATGCACATGGAGTCGCCATGAGTCAGAATCAACTCGATGACAACTGTTTTTAATTTTTTGGTCCCAAAGCCTACTTGCCCAGCTGTAATTGCTACTTTGGCAGAATTCAGCAGCAAGGCAGACATTCTATGAGTAGCAATGCTCAATTAAAGGAGATTCTTACTGAGAAAGATTGAGATTTCTTTCTTTTTTATCCTAATTGTCTTAAGAAGGATGCCTGCTGGGCAGGAAAATTGAATAGGATTTTCCTGTTCAGAGAGTGTTCTAGAGGAAACAAACCCATTGAACTTTGGTGATGGCACCAGCCATGGGTGATCTATTGACTGACAATAAAACACCCAGCACAGAGGACGCACGGAGCTGTACCTGCCCAAGAACATGCTTCCTGCAAAGTGGGTTGAAGTGCCTCATGTCATAGCCACTGTGCAGCCCCCATCTGGGTGATTAAGCAATTCTCTGGCTTGCTCAGCAAATTTTCTAGAAGGAACTTAGTTACAGCTTAACTTGTAGCTGTGTAAGTGGGAAGTAAACAACAGTTTTGAGGAAAACAGTATGGAGTTGCCTTTGTCGTCTGTGATAAAGGAGTTTCTATTTCATCTCCTTTCAACTTCTTCAGAGAGGCACCTTACTGTACTTCTTTCACAGATTTTTTTTTTCTTTTAATGAAAAGAGTTTCTCTAGACTTCAAAGGGAGACGTGAAAGGAGAACTAGGTCTTATCTTTCTGCCTCTTACAATTTTGGGTCACCAGGATCTTATCAACAAGAAAGAAGAATTAGTGTACAAGTAAAGAGAAAACCCATCTGGGAAATATCGACATTTTAGTTCACTAAGGCTGCGCTAGGAACCAAAATTGTATTTTGTATTATCTTCTTTTTCTCAGCAGGGGTCCAAGGAATGGGAGTCTGGGGGTGGGAAAAGAGGGGCAAGAAAGTCATCTTTCCTCCACTGTACTTGCTCCCTCAATCTCTCTCCCCTTCACCCTGGTGAGATTACACCCAGAGAGCAGAACAAACCAATAGCTGAGATTTTAGATTTCTAGGTAGGTTTTCAGAGGCAGGAATCCCCAGAGTGCAGATTGGCTTAGAAGTGCCTGGGTATTGACTGATTTCCTTCACAGAAGTCAGTCCTAATCATCCATCCATTGATCCATCGATCCATCAATCCATCTACCAATCCCTTGATCCATCCATCGATCCATCAATCCCTCGATCCATCCATCGATCCATCCCTCGATCCATCCATCGATCCATCCCTCCATCCCTCCATCCCTCCATCTATCCATCTATCCATCCATCCATCCATCCATCCATCATCCCATTAATTCAGTTAGCAAACTTCACTGGGCATTTGTTAAGTACCATGATGTTACATGCTAATGGGAGATATAAAAAATAAATGACAGTCTCTTGTCCACAGAAACTTATAGTTTGATGGGTGAGTCCACTGTCCATAATGACACAACATGGCAGGGGCCAGGAATAAATAAAGGGTGCTGTGGGAACAAACAGGAGGGCACCTAACACAACTCCCAGGAGCTTCCTGCAGGACATGTGTCTAGGTGAGACATGAAGAGTAGGGAGTCATTAGAAGGAGAGCAGAGAAAAATGTTCAGGCAAATGGACCAGTGCATGCAAAACATGTCAGAGCTGGGAAGAACTTTCCAATATCAAAAAAAATGGAGGAAATATCTGTACCTTAAAAACAAACAAGCAAAAAACCAAGAAATGAAAAAACAAAAACAACCCTTTCCTTTGGATCTTTCTGTATAACTCTGAAGTCACAAAGATCCTAGACATTATTTCCTAGTAGAGGTAAAAATTACAAAATACATTCTTCAAGGAGCCCTGGTGGTACAGTGGTTAAGAGCTCAGCTGCTAACCAAAAGGTTGGCAGTTCAAATCCACCAGCTACTCCTTGGAAACCATATGGGACAGTTCTACTCTGTCCTACAGGGTTGTTATGAGTTGGAATCGGCTCTATGGCAGTGGGATTTTTTTTTTTTTTTTTTTGATATGCTCTTCAAATCACTTTTGCCTGTCTGTCAGTAGTGAATGTTTACTTTTATGATGTCATACACTGTTGAGTCCTAAAGGTACTTACTAAATGGTGGTTTGATTATGAGTTGCTCCTTTGTATCAGCTCTCTAGAAAAAGTCACAGACAAGTGCATAATGACCTAAATAACCTAGTAAAAGAAAGAGAGCCAGATGGAATCACCTGGGACATAGAAAACCCTCCTTTTCCTCACTAGGCTCCCATTCCTATCTGCTGCCTAGCCCTGGCCATTTAATAGCCTTACTTAATCAATTACTCTTTTGTTGTTTCATCTAAAAATGTAAGAGACCCTAAAAAAACCCGTTGCTGTCAAGTTCATTCCTATTCATAGCGACCCTATCAAGACAGAGTAGAACTGCCCCATAGGGTATCCAAGGAACGGCTGGTAGACTTGAACTGCCAACTTTTGGTTATCAGGCGAGCTCTTAACCACTGCGCCACCAGGGCTCCGTACGAGACCCTAGGATAGATTAACTCATCCCAAATGGACAAGATGACCTGGTACTTTTCCAAATTTCTGTTGCCCAAATTCAGCAGTTAACAAATTACATGATGCACATTATTTTCCACGTTTATGATCTTAGAGGGGGACTAAAAATCCTTGGGTATACTGAGTATTTTTAACATGTTTTGCTATTCAATGGCTGGAGCTGTCTAAATGCAATTATGAAGAAGAAAGGAACAAAGAAATAGAGCCACTGTCTCAGGGACCAACTATAGGACTGGTGGCTTGAGTATGTCATTTTTGCTTATCCCAGTCACCTTGAAAAGTGGCATTATTATTGCCATTTTACAGATTAGAAATTGGAAATTCAAAGAGATTAATATCGAGGTTACACAGCCAGGTAGAGGACTCAGCATGATGTCTGGCACACTAGCAAGCATTTAATACAGAATCAAACTTGGACCGACTTGCTCCAAAGCCCATCCTCATTTGAGTATGCTATTTTCTCAGGAAATCATGAAAACAGTGGCAAAGTGTATGCAGGGAGAAGGGTGGGAGGAAATAGAAGTTGGAGAGAATTCACTTGGAATCTTTCTCTTCCTAGGTCAAGTCTGTGGAACAGAGAAGGGAACACATGGGAGTTCGCCACTGTTAATCTGTCTGTTCTGGGGAAGGCAGCTTAGGTGGGTGCGGAATGAAGGTTCTGAAGATCAGCAGACACCATGTCTGCCTCTGTGCTAAAACCAGATGGACATGTCTGTCTCACATGTCTTTGACAGGAAGGTTTTCATGGCTGTTTCCTATAGAAAGGTTTATGTAGTCCATGATTCTGAATCATGACACCTTCTACCTGTGGTCTCTGGAAGGGGTGTGGGGGAAGGGGGAAATTACTCTGTCTGAATGTCTGAAGGATTCAGGCAAAATCTTCCATTTACCTTAAACCAGACAAGTTGAAAGAAGGCCTAATGTCCTCTAAAGTGTATTTAAGGTGGCTGTGCTGCCTCTGTGTTTAATTTCGAAAGGATAATACTTTTATGGAGCTATGTAAACAACAGTGTCTATAGTAAATGTGCTGAAGAGAAGAAAGGGAATTAACTGGCCAGTCCCTGGGTGAAGTGAGTTGTATCTCTGGAGATCTCATGTTTTGTTTATCCTCTGTCAATATAGCTTTCCTGTGTGCTGACTCCAGAGTTTCCATAGGGCCTGTTTTTAGAGATAAGACAAAAAAAGATAGAGGAAGAGGGAGTAGCTGGAAATAGGTGGGAAAAAGCAACAAAGAGGGAAAATCGTTGTAACTCACAACCAAAACAAAACAAAGCAAAAAACTCAGTTGCCATTGAGTTGGTTCCTACTCATGGTGACCACATGTGTGTCAGAATAGCACTGTGCTCCATAGGGTTTTCAATGGCTGATTTTTTTGGAATTAGATTGCCGGGTCTTTCTTCCTCCTTTTCTTTAGCAGCCAAACATATTAACCATTTGCACTACCCAGGTACCCTCTGATAACTCATTTGTTGTTGTTAGGTTGCCGACGAGTGGATTCCAACTCACGGCAACCCCATTTGTGCAGAGTAGAACTGCTCCATAGAGTTTTCAAGGCTGTGACCTTTCAGAAGCAGATCTCCAGGTGTTAACTTCCAAGGTGCCTCTGAGTGGCTTTGAACTGTCAACCTTTTGGTTAGTAGTCCAGCACTTAACCATTTGTGACACCCAGGTACTCCATTATTCTTTTTTTTAAAACTATGCATAAGGTGAAAGCTTACAGAGCAAATTAGATACCCAGTCGATAGTTTACATGTAAGTGGTTCATGGCCTTGGTTTCATTCCCCACAATGTGTCAGCACTCTCCCCATTTCTGCCCTGGGTTCCCTGTTTCTTTCTGTCCTGATTTTCTACCCCTTCCTGCCTTCTTATCTTTGCTTTTGGGCAAATGTTGTCATTTTGATCTTGCATAATTGATTGTTCTAAGAAGCACATTACTCTCTGGTGTTACTGTTTATTTTATGAGCTTGTCTATTGTTTGGCTGGAAGCTGGCCTCTGGGAATGGCTTCAGTTCCAAGTTCCAGGTCAGAAGGGTGTCTTAGGGCCATAGTCTTGAGGGTTCTTCTAGTCTCTGTCAGACCAGTAAGTCTAGTTTTTGTGAATTTGATTTTTTGTTCTACAGTTTCCTCCCACTCTGTCCATGACCCTCTGTTGTGATTCTGGTCAGAGTGGTCAGTAGCGGTAGCCGGGCACCATCTAGTTCTTCTGGTCTTAGGGTCATATAGGCTGTGGTTCATGTGGTCCATTCATTAATCCTTTGGACTAATTGCTCCCTTGAGTCTTTGGTTTTCTTCACTTTCCTTTGCTGTTGTTGGGAAGAGGCCAATAGTTGTATCTTAGATGGCCACCTGCAAGCTCCTAAGACCCCAGACATTACTCACCAAAGTAGGATGCAGAACATTCTCTTTATGATATGCGCTATGTGATGTCAACTGATGTAGATGGGACTCCATTATTCTTGTTGAAAGGAGTCAAAAGGAATTACTACTGTTTCCCTTTCAGTTCCCATAGCTACAAAAGAAGCTCAAGACACACAGATGGATTTTATGATGTTGCTGAGTTTTACATCTGAGTTGTATTACTGAGATATTTCATACTTGCAAAGATGGTTTTTTTTTCCCCATGCTTAAATTAATGAAGGGAAACTTGCTATTTGGAAGGAAAAAAGAAAGAGTACTTACCTTTGTATCCCAAAATGGCTACTGTGATTGTTAGCAAGGCACACAAAATGTATAATAATATGATTGAAAACTTCAGTGCCCAGTTATTTTTACATTTGGTACACTGTGTTCCTTCCTGAATACCTGTAAGAGAATTCATAGTTTAATAATCATAACCAAGAAGATCATTTCAAAAATCATCTCTTTGAATTTTGGCTTAAATATTTTGACTAAGAATAATTTTTACATACACTTGCTATACTATCAGTTGTATTTTAAAAATGAACATTTTTATCACTTAGCAACACATGCACTTCAAATATTACTGTTATGTTGTTATAACTGTATTCAATATGACTTGAAAGTAGCATATAACCTTATCTCATAGAACATAGTTTCTAATCAAATCTATTACTATAATTACAATGATAATTTCAATAAAAATCTCTTTATGACCAAATATTTAAAACAGTCAAATCTGCTTGTTTCAGATAATATTAGATCTACAGCAATTTAAACACAACAACAACGAAATTGTAATTTGTCCTTTGATGTTTGTTTCAGTGGTATGCTGGAGCTAGTTTGTATTGGCTTGTAAGAGCCAATTGTTCAATTTTTAGGAATTTTGTTAGCTGGTTGTTAAAGAGTTAGTAGCTTGAAATCAGCTTGGAAGGGGGCATTTACACCATGGAAAATGGCAAACACTACAAATCAGCACTTTTTTCCCCCTGGAGAGCAGGTTTACCAGCATGCCATTGGTTGTCGTGTACTATGTATGACCTACAGCAGAAAACATAGGTAATTTTAACATTAAAATGTCCAGTATATTTCTTATACATTCTTATGCATTACATATATATAGAAAAAAGACACTGACTCTTATTTAAGTTATCACAGTGGTTTGAATAACAACTATGGAACAAATAGAAAAGCCAGACATTTTTGATGAGAGGAGGTAAATGTTTACTACTCACAGTTCAACTTTTTGAAAAGCATTCTAGCCTAAGTGGTAAACTGTGGGGATATATGCCATTTAAACATGGCTGCACTATTGCCAACTGCAGCCCCCATAGGCCTCTATGCTGCATAGCATGTTGAGACTTGTCCCCAACATGTTGAGACTTGTCCCCAACATGTTGAGACTTGTCTCCAACATGTTGAGACTTGTCATGACTTGTTTTCCCAAACCTATTGTCACTTTACTGATTGGCTTCTTTACCTGAATTCCTTCTCCCTTGCCCGCACCCAAAGCCCATTTTTCTGTTATTTGCTTCACTGCTTGCTGTATTGACTATAAATAAACTCCTGGGACTGAATCCGGGGTCGACTCCTCAGAGTGACTCTCCTGGCCCCACTTCTCTGTAAGAGTTGTGTTTGGTTACTGTCTCCGCTGCCCCGACATTCGCCGCTGCTGCGACAGTAAACCACCATCACTTCTGCAAGTGACTCCAGAAACTAACCCATAAAAAGAGACCTTTCCATCTGGTTGATTAGAAACCCAGAAGACAAAAGAATGTAGACATTTTAATGTAAAAATCACATTGTAAGGAGTATCAGGAGAGTCCTTGTTTTCCTAACCTGTTCCCCTGTGTATGTCTTACTAATAATGGCCCCAAGGAGAAGAGCCAGGGGCGGATCATCCAATAGGCAAGGTAAGCACGGGGTTTACTTTGCTTACCAGATCTGTAGTGAAAAATTTTACTTTTTTTTTTTTCTTTACCACATCGAAGACTCTGCTTCTAGGTATGGCTGGCATCTGTCTTGCTCTCAACCCCACAGCACCTTCTAGAGAATCAAAGCCTCTTCAAATTTACAAATCCCCGATGGGGCAGATGACCCAGTAAACACGGTAAGCACGGGCTTACTTGTGCTTACTTACTAATCTGTAGTGAACAATTTCACACGGATTTAAGCTGTGGTGAAACCCATGTGAAACTGCTCACTACAGATGATCTGGTAAGCAAGGTAAGCACTGTGCTTACCTTGCCTACCTTGCCTATTGGATAATCTGCCCGAGAACAGCAGATAAAGGACTAATCTCCAGTAATTGCGCTCCATGACTTCTGATGGGTAAATCATGAGGACTAAGCCACAGCTGAAGTTTGTCTCCTTTGGTTTGTAATTGTATGCATACTGCCCTTTTTTCAGTGAAGAGTTCTTCAGCTGTGTTTAATGCAAAATGATGACAGAAACAGCGTCTAACAGTGGCTCAAACTTAACTTTCAGGGTTCAGCCAGTCCCTCCTCTGTTCTGGGCTAGACACAAGGCTGGGGTAGGGGGGTGTGTGTGGTCTAATCTGTCTGTTTCATGATAGAGCAGTGGTTCTCAAAGTTTAGGGTGCATCAGAATCACTTGAAGGGCTTGTTAGAACACACTAATTCAGGGTCACTACGGGTTTGGTATTTTGGTTTAGGAAGGGGACTGAGAATCTGTATTTCTAACAAGAGTCCCAGGTGGTGTGGATGCTGCTAGTCTGGGTACCACACTTTAGAACAGTGCTTCTCAAACTTTAACGTGCTTACAAATCACATGGAGGAGCTTGTTAAAAAGCAGACTCTGATTCGCTAGGTGTGAGGTAGGAGCTAAGATTCTGCATGTCTAACAAGATCCAAGTGATGCCTGGTCCAAGGACCACACTTAGAGCAGAAACAGTTTAGTTTAGATGATGGCCATGCTGGACCAACCTTTGGTTAGCCAATTCTTTGAGGGGGAGGCTGTAAAGTCAGACTCACTGATCAAACAGACCTGGAGTACATCAGCTTCCTTGCATCACAATTTCTCTATTTATCTTACTCCGTTTCTTTCTGCTCTTCTTCTTTATAGTCACCTTTACACTTCAGCTCCACGTCTCATGTCTAAAACTGACCTCAGTACTAGCCCTGCCAAACCAGATCTCCAAGTTCCATCTGACTTTCTTACCTAAATACTACTATTATCCCAGTCCCTCAGGCTGTTTACCTGCATGACACTCATTCTGTCACCAGCTCCTGTTAATCTTCCGTTAGGATGTTGGATCATGATCAGCATCATCTACAGTTCACTGATGTTTACTTACTGCCTACACTGCACCAAGTTCTGAGCTAGGTATTTTCCACATACTATCTCTAATCCATGCGATAACCCTGTAGGAGGCGTGGCAGTGAGAGCTGGAATGATATCCTGTACACATCATGGCCAGAAGGCCAACCTGGGTCTTTGTGACTCCAAATGCCATAACGGCTGCATTGTGCCATGGTGCCTTGCTCTGGCCACCCTTTCCTCTCTGTTTCCACTGCCACCATCCTAGTGTGAGATCTCTTAATCTGAATGGAAACTTCCTCTTCCATTCCCGCTGGAATTCAACCTCACCCTGTACTAAAATACTACTGACCTCATGACATTTGTCAAAAAAAAAGAGAAACAAATAAACCTCCAATGGCTCATCTTTACTATAGGATGAAAACACACACACACACAATCTCACGCACACACAAGTCCATTCTTCTCCCCCCCACCCTCCCCCCAGCTTCTTCTCTATAATCTGGTAGTTTAAAACAAAACAAAGATCCTGTACATCCAGTTAAGAGTAAAAATATTTGTGAAATTGGGAGAGTGGGGAGTCTAGGCATACTCACAAGCTTGCCACATTCCATATTCAGAAGCAATAAACTTGTTTTGATGGCAACTGTAACATACAGAAGGATGAAAGGCACAGAGGTGCTGGGCTGGCCTCCTGGGGAAAGACTGGGTGACACTTTACGGTTGATGGGGGTGCCATGCTGTCATCACGGCTTTTGGGTTTTAGGACCATGGTGGGTGAGCTCTTCACGACTCTCCAGGCTGATTTCTTACATTCCATTAGAAAAGCCTCAGAAGACTTGGTCAGCGAGGAGAGAAGATTGAATCCGGGGGTTGGAGATAGCCTAGAGGTATCTGGTCAGGCCTCCTTACGTTACTGGTGGGAAAAGTAGGGGCTGGTGAGGTGAAGTCCCAGGTCCCGACTCAGTGCAGGCCCTTCCCCTCCATCCGTGCCGTGTGTGCTGGCGCTGTGCCACCGGACATCTCGAGCATGTGGTATTAATGCAGAGCCACTCCCAGACAGTTGTCACTGGTTCACATTCCAAAGAGCAGGGTCACTTCCTTACGATGTGCGCTTCTCACTGCCGACTGTATCAGCACTTAATCAATATCAGATGGCACTGCCTGGCCTCCCCTTCCCTTTGACACACTTTCTCTGTCTTGTTTTTCCTCCTCCCGGAGACTTATTTTTTAATAAGAATTCTGTTTTATCCTTCCCTCTCTGCCCTCCGCTGGGAGGACATCTGGCCAAACATACTGATACCTACTACAAAGAGACCCTGCTGGCTCACGTAGCTGGGGACCCTCCGCCTTGAACCTAGATGGTCACAGAAAACATTCGAGAGAGACATCCCCCCGTTACCAGCCTTTGTACTGTTTGTTTTCTTAGCATTACTTTGCAGAGACTGGGGACTTTGTTCCCATGAGGGGAAGGAGGGGAGAGGGAACTCATCTGCAGCGTGCTGCGGATAAGAGATTCCAGCTCAGGAAGTAAGGCTGTTTTGCCCTTTACCTCCAAGAGATCTGGCTTATCAAAAAACCTGGCCCCAACAGCACATTTGTAATTCAGCAGGCCACAGACGGAAAGTGCCTGAAGGATCCATGCCCTTCCATTGGTTGACTCTCTTGAGCTGGGTCCCACTGAACATGATTCTTGGCTCGTGTTTTGTATGTGTTTTCCAGAGTCCAAGTCTTGGTTATACAAAAAAGTTTGGGGGCCAAGCAAAGCCGGAACCACTCTGGTTAACTCGTTGCGTATTCCACGGAAGTTCAGAAAAGGCTGACAATTTGGTCCCCAGTGTCCAAACTCAAGTTCCTCGCGTTGCCAAGTTTCCAATAACTTGTTTAAAGTAAGAAGTGTGAGGATGGTGGGTGGTGAGCTGGCTGGAGAGAAGAACTGAAACACTACAGACAACAGTGCAGAGGGCCAGAAGAATTCACCAGCACAGAGAATTCCTTCCTGCTGTGGTTCTCCATAAAGGGCCCTCCCAAGTGCTGTGGTCCAGGCACCAATTCAGCCTGTTTTTTTAATCTTTTTGGAGGACAAAAAGTCTCCCTACTATCATATTTCTCTGCCGTGCACATCA